TCTTTGACTCATTCTTGTCCCTTTTTTGTAGTGATCTGAAAGCCATCCATACATACATATATACTATATATTTGGGAGGCCTCAGTGTAGACGTGTTTATGTCTGCGTCCTTGCCAAGCGGCCGGTCCCTCTCTGAATGCATGACGAGGCAGTGCGGCACGACTTGGCAGAGAGCGCTGAGCTGGCACACACAGCCGCATCGATTCTGGCTCCTCTGATTGGCCTGAGTACTTCTGTGCAATTGTGATTCGGAAAGTTAATGCAAGAAAGTGGCCGCTGTAATGAGGCTGATGGATGTTGTGTGTTCCTGCTCCCTCCTATCCAGAAGCAGAGGCAGCTGAGGCAATATAACGTAAACAAATACAAGATGTTCAGAGTAAATGAAACGTGGTGATTTTCCTCATAGCTGTGACTGGTGAAACATGCCGCAGTGCTGCATCCTTACACTGTAACATACATATATACAAATATGTTTCAAGTTTTTAGAATACAGATTGGACCAAACGAATGTTGCAAAATAAATGTGAAAGCAGGTGTTCAGTATAGGAGGATCATTGTTTACGTCAGCGTGCGCATACACCCTCGCTGGGTGACAAGAAGACAGAGCGGCGAATACTGAAGCATGGACGACGAGTACTTTTAAAAGACTCAGTGGGCGAAATGCACTGTATATAAGCAATTTAACGCAAAAAGATCAGAGGAGATATAAAGACAAGCTAAAAATAAGTATATGAGACCAAAAAAACATTGGTCAGACTCACTTCTGTCTTGGCATCGATCTGCTGGTAGACATTCATTCTAACTTCATAGAAAACCCGGGACACTTCACGCAAGAAGGGTTCGTGGTGAAAATTCATTTCTTGTGTTTTTCACCGCATTAAAGTGGCCTGGCTTTTTGCCGTCGCGGTAAAGTGGTCCGCACATTAAAAGCGGGTTGCTCCTTTACGCTGTTACTTACGGTAAACGTGGAAAAGGAGCCCACCAAGTATGAGCAACCAAAATGCAATGTTTAAAATTCATCATCAAAGTGAACAAGTGTGTGAAAAGCAGTGGAAGTAGTTGCAAAACTACTACTAGCATAAAAGGGCAACCCGCTTTTAATGTAATACCACTTTACCGCAGCCGTTTTTCGCTGTTCTTTTCCGAAGGAACTAGAATAAAAACTTGATCTGTCCCCAGAGGGTCGTACAACCGACCACACAACAGCAATGGACAATTTGATTTAGTAAAACCTCTCTCCAACCATCTAAAACTAGCTAACTCTTTAGCATCCAGGTAGCTTTTTATGCTGTTTTGCCACAGTCACGTGACCGGCGCGGAAAAACTTTAAACAACGACGTCACTCCAAGATCCTCCTATTGCTTGTCCAAATACATGGTGAAAAAATATATAACATCGACTGAGATGAGCAACTATCTAATGATTATGCAGCTGATATAACCAGGAGCATCTGCTGCAGTGGTAATGAGTTTGGTTGGCGTTTCAGGAAAGCCGATTGGCCGAACCACCGCAGCAGCTGGATGAGGCTTTCTCAGGTCACTAAGCTCTGAGCAAAAACCAGACAGTGAAGATAACGCAGTCTGAAAAGTCATATTCACCTCATTTCATTCTTACAGTGGACTATGCAAGAACTATAAACAATACGGTTCGTATCCCAACAAATAGTTACACAGACACTGACATGTAGGCATTGCTCTTCCAATAGCTATTTCATCTTCTTTTATTTACTATTTATTCTTTAAAAAAAATTATTTGGCTGCGTTTGGTTTTTAAATGAAAGGTAAAAACATCCATCTTTAGTGGGACGGCTTTGGCTTGGAAGTACAAATCTGTCTTTGTGTCAAATATTAATCTATACTAAAATTTGTATCAGTATTGAAAATAATGACATAAAAAAGACAACATTTGAGATTCTACTTTATGTATATCTGAACTAGAGAAAAACTTTGCGTTGCCATCAAAAATACTATTATTAATACTATTATTGTTAATTAAAAATGGCAGCTCCAAACAAAGAAAATCATAAATTCAAGATTATCACTTTGGCATCTTAACGTGGAAGTAATTAGTCTATGTTTGTTCATCGGAATCAAGTTTTTGTATCGCGAGTAAACACTAGTCCTTAAGGCATAAATAATTGGTCATATTTGCAGGTACTGATGGTGCAGGTAGATAACCATACATCCAGCAGTCTGCCCCAGGGCATGTGTGGCAACAAGTATGGGGCTATCGGTTATTGTCCGGAACATATCCATGAGTAAACAAGGATAATTTGTCTGTCAGTTAAACGGCTAACAAGCACACAAATACTAACTTCTGTGTCGGTCAATCTCTGGGTGACGTTGGTCCAATTGTCCAGCATACAATGTCCCCATTCACTTCCCTGTGTCTGTCTACGCTACTCACATGAATACAAGCTTTATTTCAGTGACGTACAGAAGTTCTGCGCCACACACACTCACATGTTTATGGATGGAGTCCTGGGAATGCAAACAGAGATTCAATAATGAGCTATCAATAGAGGAAACATTGTTCTTTTATGGGTCACATGACATCCTTCCGCTTTATGTTACAGTTGTAGTCCTGCTTTTCCCATTTTGTAGTGATGATTCATAAGTGAGCACAATAAAAACACGATACAAATATGTACAATTGGTAAAATCCTCAGTTCTGGTAGTCGTGATTAATATGAACATTTTTATTTATTTATTATCAGTTACTTTTTTTGGTCATCACATCGACAAAGTTACAGTTCAAACATATGATATATTATAGATAATTGCAAACTAAACAGTGAGTACTGCTCCTGACAGAGGCACTAGTGGCATTGCAGGATGGATCAAATGCAGAGGACAAATTTCTCTGAGTGGACAATAAAGTATTACTTATTGTCATATGATTTGAGTCTTTTTCGGCTAAGGAACAATTGTGATTTTACTTCAATTACTGACACAAATATAAATAAATTATTCTTTAGAAGTGTTTTTTATTCTTATTTTTATTATCTCTTTCTGACTGTTGCACTGAGCCAAAGCAATTTCCAAGTCTGTGACCTCCTGTTACTTACGTGGCAATAAAAATGATTCTGATTCTGATTCTGAAATAATACATCACCCTTGCTTTAAATGTCATGGTGATATATCCCCTTTGAGTGACACCGTTTAAACATTACGTTTTGATGGGGGATTATATATTCATCACATCCTTGCGTTACCTATAGTGCACTTGGGTTCTCCCAGATTCCACGTTCTACAGCCAAACCACCTCAGACTCTCCATCACCTCCTCTTCATCATTTTTCTTCCTTTAAACTCTTCTTCTATTTGACCTCAGTCAGACATTGTCATTCCTGGAAGATCTTCATTACAATGCTCTGGTACTTCTACACGTACTCGAGCCCATGACTCATTGTGTCTCACAGTTCCCCCACAATATAAGCAGTTTCCTAGAAAGGGTGACAGGAAGGCCCCACTCTGCTGGGGGTCGTCCTGCTCCGTGAGTCACTTTAGTCTTTATGTGGATGGTTGTATAGACGTGTGAACAGCAGACGGAGGGCTCCATGTGCTCATTCCACTTCAGTCACAGATATTTATAGTCATGTTTTCTGTCTGAAGCCTAAAGGTTACCAGTAACTATTACACCAGTCTGGGCCACACTCAGTCACACACATTTGTTACATAAAGTTGTGTGTGCCTTACAAAGCATTGATTGGTGATGATGGAAGTAGTGGCCAAAGAAACAGAATAATTGCATTCAAATAGCAATAACTGGCACCCCAGTTGAGTAGGCTTACATATAGGCCTGAGGTGTTTTGCATACAAACTATTTTGCACCGATGGTTCAGGGGCAATCTGGCACAACCAAGCCCCGGCGATCCAAGATGGCGCCCTATTCAAATGAATGGTCGTGCTCAGTGGCGCTTTGTGACAGCATGGGGGCTGAAAGATTAGCGGAAGTCGCCTGAAACTCGCAAAGATCTATGGGAAACTCGCCTGTATTTGGGCATCGTCTGGTCGTCCCGGTTCTGCGCAGTGGATGATCTCCCATAATGCGTTGCGCCAAACACGCGTGTGTGGGTCTCACACCAGGTCTCACGAGAGGTCTGGCGAGAGCCAGACGAGCAGAGTTTGTGGCACTAAAGTGTGGATTTAAACAAAACCGAAGGATTTAAGAAGAAAAAAAGTTCAGGATGACAAGGGACACTAAATTCCCACAAAATCCGATCTTCATTAAAGCTGTAGCTTCTCTGTCAGCTGAGGTTGAGCTGTTTTAATATGCATTGAGTTCTATGGGGAAAATTCTGTGTAGCCCACGTGAATTTAGTCTGGTTCAGTCTGCAGTACCGCGAGAATCCCCTGAGCACATGAGTTATTCAGCTACAAGCTAGTAATACCTTATCCAGTTATTATAATAGATCCATGGGCACAACCCCCGATTGTTAAAGTGTTTTGACTGGATGTGTACCACCTCACCAACTACATTTGTGGTATATACAAAATAAAGTGATACCATCATGGGCGGCACGGTGGCTGAGTGGATAGCACTCTCGCCTCTCAACAAGAAGGTCCTGGGTTCGAATCCCGGTTGGACCAGGGCCTTTCTGAGTGGAGTTTGCATGTTCTCCCCGTGTCTGCGTAGGTTTTCTCCGGGTGCTCCGGTTTCCCCTACCACTAAAAATATGTACAATAGGTCTGGCATGTGCCTCCTGTACTGGCACCCCCACTCCCAAAAATAACAATTGTAAACCGCTTTGAGACTCCGATGTGCAGTGAAAAGGCGGTATATATAAATAAAGATTACAATAAAGATTACTACATCAAAATGTCAGTTTTATACAAATAAAGGTAAAGCATGTCTATAGTGGTGGAGCTGACGTTGGGTTAGCAAGGCACTTTGGGTTAGCAAGGCATAGGCTACATAAAATGACTGCAGTCTAATCTGTATTTCTGCAAAGTGGCCTCATCTTGATTTGTTCTAACATAGTCACAATTGTTGTTGCAGCTCTTGTGCTCGGCGGTGGCAGCAGCGCGGGTCCTGATCCCCCCTGAAGACCCCTCTGTCCTGTCCCCTCGTAAGTACCAGCACACAGATCCATCCTCGGGCTTCCAGCTTACCTGCGACAAGTGCCCCGCCGGGACCTATGTGTCGGCCCACTGCTCCTCCAACGCAGAGCGGGAGTGTACCTCCTGTCCCGAGGAGAGCTTCACGCGTGGGGAGAACGGGGTCCAGCAGTGCCACCGCTGCAGAGAACCCTGCCCCCGCGGCCTGGTGGAGAAGACAGCCTGCACAGCCACCCAGGACCGTGTCTGCTCCTGCCCCCCAGGGACATTTCTAACACAGGGGCAGATGTGTAGACCCCACTCCCTGTGCCCCCCCGGGACTAGAGTGAAGAAGCGAGGCACTGAGACAGAAGACGTAATGTGTAAACTCTGCAGCAAAGGCACTTTCTCGGATGTGGAGTCCACTGCGGCCAAGTGCAGGACCCACCAGGAGTGTCACTCTCAAGGGCTCGTGCTGCTCGTCGCTGGTACCAGAGAGGCCGATAATGTATGCGGGCCACTTCCTGCATATTCCGCCATTCGCACATCCCCCTCAACCACTCCCCCGAAAAACACAGCCTCTGAACCGGGACCAGAGCAGGCAGACTCTTCCAATGGTCCTGTGTTGGAGATCTCGCAGACCACCTCCTCTCCTCACAACGCCAAAGCAGAACACGGTAACATGGTCTTTATGTGTACCTTTTCCATCGATGGAATGTTATTTCACAGAGTAAAAGTGCAAAACTGTATAAACTAAAATGGGAGTTTGTAAGCTGGAGTTTGCATGTTTTCCCTATGTCTAAAGGTCAATAAACGGTAAAAAGTGTGTATGACAGGTTAGACTTTTCACAGAACACAGTCTCCATCATTACATTAAATCTTTCCTAATTACTGAAAAACCCTCAGTTGACTTAAATAATTGTATTGGACAAATGTAATTATATAACCATGTGCATACGTAGTCAGGTGAAAAATTTTAGTTTCATTAAAATTATGTTTGTTGTAAACTGTGCCAAACCTAAGGATGAGTTTCGGTTTTATTCCTATAGTGCTATACCATGTGCTGCCTGACCGTGTTACAATGTAAAGAGACCACACTGTCTCCCATCATGCATTACCCCATCCCAGCAACAGAGCAATGAGACAAAGAATGTGCGCCCATAACTGTATTGTCTTTACCAAAGCAAAACATGTAAAAGTACAAGGTAGACACTAATTACACTCATTAAACTTAAACATTGTTGCAGTATGTCTTTGCACACATGACAGTACCACAAATAAGTATGGATCCTGTTGCTGGTAATCTCCTACTCTCACCAAACGAACTCGGAACAGTTGGGTTATTATACTAGAAAGAAGAAACTGTTGTTTTTGGTGTTGTTCTCTATCTTTGACAGCTAGAATCTTGACTTGACATAATGTAAGTGCTATTATTGTTGCCATGGGTATTGACAACCACTTTGTGTTGTCTGTGTATTTCCTTGAGTATCTTTTGTTGACATCGCCATCTTAAAGACAGAGCAATGCAGTTGGTATTGTGGTGAGAGAAGTGCCAAAGTTGTCAAGCCATTAATCCATCTTGCAAAACTGAGGCTGCATACAGTCAGGCAGCGGCTTTACAGTAACTACTCAATCATTGAACAACACACTATTTTGAACACAGATACATGTTGTGGTTCGTTGTCAGATAATTCATGTGGCAAAGTCTTCAGTATGCCTTACATTCGTAAGATAAGATAAGATAAACGTTTCATCCCAATACTCACAAATATAAATTGAATATATATTTTGTAATTTATCTGTAATGTGGGCATCTATTCACAAATTCTATTACACATTTGTTTAATATTAGGATTGTACTGTGGGCATGGTATTTGTCACTGTTTGTGGTTGTCATTACAGGTATAAAAGTTATTTTGGCTTGGTGTTCATGCTAATTGTCAATGTTAGTTTAGGATTAGAGGATATAAAGGATTTACTGTGACCAGAATAGCCCCCCAGGAAAACAACAGAGATATTCAGCCCCAGCATCAAAGTAACAGCTCAGCCTGTTATGTAGACAATTATCAATGCTGGCGCGTGACGCAATCTTATTGATTTTTCCTTCAGTATCTGACCCCTTTCCAGAAATATCTACTTGTTGTTCATAACTGTCCTCATTTATGGACCAAAAAGGCGTCACATGCTTTGGGAATTGTGCCCTGGACAAAATTGTCTTTATATAACAATGTGACAAACCTTATGTCAATGTGGGGTCATATATAGTTTCTCATGCCTGCTGTTCTATCGTTTAGTTTATTTTGCGTTTCACACAGGTCTGATATCCTGCACTTACTATGTATACAAAACACATACATCCATACTTCCATCCATCCATCCATTTATTGTCTTATGCCTTGTCTGTTGCCGGGTCGCGGGGGCAGCAGTCTTAGCAGAGACGCCCAGACCTCCCTATCCACACAAAACTCCAGCTGAGAGACATGTTCTTTAAGAGCTAAATAAAAAACTACCAGGAAGTAAAAACAATTCCTTCGGTGCGTTTTATCCTAATACTGTATGTTTGTTGCCTGCAGGTTTCCACCGTCATTCAGCCAATATCCAACTGAGGAGGACCACTCATACACAACTATTGGACCACACTTCTACTTCAAGTGTCCCAAACCAGGACCCAACTCGGACCCCACATCTTGAGCAGCAAATGGGGCAACAGAACTCTGAGGGTCTCCCTGGCTCCGGTCGAAAGGACATTTTGGAGAGCATAGATACTGTCAAAATTAGTATCAACAAAGTGCCTGGGGGGGTCTCCAGTGCATACCGTCCCACTCGGAGAGGGTCCCCGAGGCCAAGCACCACAGAGCACTTTGACATTAATGAACACCTGCCATGGATGATTGTTCTGCTGCTGCTGCTGGTTCTGGTGGTGATCGTGGGCTGCAGTGTGAAGAGGAGTTCGCGGGTTCTGAAAAAGGGGCCTGTGCAAGACCCCAGCAGCATCATGGAGAAGGCCATCCAGAAGAAAGCCCACGGACCCCCCACACAAACCCGAGAGAAGTGGATCTACTACTCCAATGGACAGGGTACAATTAATGTATATTTTTTTCAGTCGGGGTGTGCGGCAGATAATGAAAAATAATTTGTATGTATTCAATCTTGGACTTAAAAAAATATTCTCTTTAATCTTTACTTCAATAGATCACATATGGTTGGGCTTGGGTTCTCTATTTTTTATTGGCACAGTTTAGAATCAGTATTACATGATTGTTATCTCTTGATTTTAATACATAATGTCAATAATCCAGATTTTGTGATTTTTGGAACAGCCCCTACGCTCACATTTTTGTTATACCACTTTACTGATCATTATATATGATCAGCCTGTTCTTTGTATAGGGAGCCCCATCTCTAGCCCAAATAATCATGGCAGATCGGGCGCCGCCATCTTGATTTGGATGTATTCATTTCTTCTGGGGATGCTAAACTTCGTATTCAGCATGCAGCCGTTTTCATTCAGTACACAGACAAAGAATTTGGAAACAAGTGGGATTTCGACACAAATCCATAACATTTATAGAATTGACAATTACTGTTCACATACAGTATTACTGGAACAGACCTTGTTGTGAAAGATTTCCCATGACCCACATTCTGGCCTCTCGGTGACATGTGTTTTGACCTGTGACCTGTGTCTGTTCCACTCCATAATGTCCCACTCGCTTACATAACTGGCTGCACCCTCCTAAAACGTCCTTACTTAATGTTTCACACTCGGTAGCTCTCTCTTTTAACTCTTCAAAACCACCATTCAGCTTTAATTGTAGCGATGTTCTACTTTTCTATTTTGTTTCCCTTATTATAGTGAATAGGGGAGTGAATGTATGATAACCTAAATGCAAACTGAAGTGGATGAAATTGTTTTCGTTAAGTGGGTCACACTGTGTACCTGGTCATTGTGGGTCTATCATCAGGCCCACATCAGATATCTCTCTGAGGGACGGGTTCATCCCTCGGCCTCGACTGTGAGGGGTGAGCCTGCAGTAAACTAGAATGAGCTGGTTTGAGGCGGCTGTCGTGGGGCTGTGTTGGCAGAACACTCCAGTGGGTCATTGGGGTCTCTTTCTCAGTGACAAAGAGATAAAAAGACAATAGGAAATGAATGGAGCTGCTGGGAGCCGGGCCGATGCTGTCTCTGGGGACTTCCCTGTGTTGCCTGGCAGCGTGACTCCGCTGAACGTGCCAGTTTCAAGATGAAGCAGTGCAGACCGACTATTCACTTGCATTTTACATTCATCTTGGATAGTTACTTAGTTTATATATTTTAGTTTCAAATCCAAAACATGTAAATCATTTGACTACTTTCTAAATGAACTGTTCCCTGGCTGACTTTTATCACATTACTTGTCATGCCTCTGTGCTGTGTTTTGCCTTGGGAAAATAGGACATTAAGACACATCTGAGATTCAATTGTAAAAAGTGTATTTATCCTTTTGGGGCCAAATAGCTTGCAATGAGTTTCTGACTTCATCACACTTTCTATACAGCAACATTTTGTATTTCTGTTATTTTAGCAGTCCTCTATCTCAAAGGTGGACATTTCAGGGCTCCACCTTGTGTCTGTTTCAAAGCAAGTTTCTTAAAAAACTCTTAACACTATTACCTTTAAAAGGATTAAAGGTGATACAATGGGTTAAAGTGAAGTCCCGCCTCCCTGAATAAAATGTGTTTTCCAGAGGGCTACACTAGTTTTATTTTGGGACTCTACTGTCTTTCACCTCTTTTGCGGAAATTTTAAGCAACCAGCGTTAGCTGCTGACCAGCTACATAAATAGACTCGCCAAAGAACTGTGCGTGTGGCCAGCATGGATCTATAATAATAACTGGATAGGGTATTACTCGCCTCCTGTACTGGCAACCCCGCTCCCATCTCGGTGTGGAGTGAGAGGACCAGTGCCCAAAAATAACAACAATTGTAAACAGCTTTGTGACTCTGGTCTGTGAAAGGCGGTATATAAATAAAGATTACTTACTTACTTACTAGCTTATAGCTGTCCCACCCATGGGCACAGGTGGAGCCCGTGGTACTGCAAACGAAATTCATGCGGGCTACCCAGAAAAAAGTCCCATAGAACTCAATGTAAATTAAAAAATCTCGACCTCAGCTGACAGAGAACCTACAGCTTTCAGAAATATCGGATTTTGTGGGGATTTTAGTGTCCCTTGTCATCCTGATTTTTTTTTTCTTCTTAAATCCTTCGGTTTTCTTTAAATCCACACTTTACTGCCACAAACTCTACTCCTTTCCTTCCCGCTCTGACTCCGCTCTGCTGCTGCTCTGATCAGCAGCGCTGATTGGTCAAAGCGCAGCCAAGCCCCTCTGTGCGCGTGCATGAAAGCCACACACGCGTATTTCGTGTCATGGGAGCTCGTCCACTGCGCAGAACCGGGAGGACCAGGAGATTAGCGAGTTCTGCTAATCTCCTGGTTTCCGTGAAGTCCCATGCGCTACTGAGCACAAGCCATTCATTTGAATAGGGCGCCATTTTGGATCACCGGGGCTTGGTGGCCAGGGACGTGTGATTGGTGCTGAGCACAATCAGTGGAAGATAGAGGTGCAGCAATTATTTGCTCACATATTACATTTGTATGGTGAAAAAATATCCCTAGATGCCTCGTTTAATTCGGCAAACATTAAATAAACTATATTGATTTGTTTGACTTACTTCTTTGCCTTCTCTAGTCCTGTGTTCTTGTGCGGACGTGCCAATTTCCATGTGGCTGCATTTATGTGAAAATGTATAGTATGTACAGCGTGCACAACCAACCAAGACGAGCCTTTTACACCGCTATTTACCCACTTGTACATAAAACTAAACGGCTTCTTAATCCGTCCAAGGTGCGTGGCTGGCTCCACTTGAAGGCCGTCATGCAGTTAAACGCCGGGCCGTAAAGGAGAGCGAGAGGGGATCACACATGCTGTACCTGGCATAGCAGAAGGAAGTAGTGAATGGTTTGGGATGAATGGGGCTTTCCATGTTTGCGGGCCAACTGTTTACTGCACACAATCTGAAGAATTTATATGTTTATCTGGAAGAAGCAATTAAGGGGAATCACAAAAATGTGGTCTTAAGTTACTGGGAGGCTGCTCCTTCTTTATTGTAATAAATGTGTGGTATTTGGATCATTTAAATGTCCTTCTTAATAAAACAAATAGCTAGCAGTGTTTAAGCAGGTTTTCTTCTTTTTGGCTGGGATGGATTTTGTTTAGTCAAAAGGTCAATTTATTACCTTTTTTTCTATTAGTCTGGGTGATTGGGTGAGCTTTATTTTAGTTTTTTTTGTTGATTGTGTAGTGTTTATACATTTGACATTTGTCATCATCGGCTAGAATTCAGATAAGACCTGGGTTGAGCTCATTAATGGTTGTCCACTGATGTGGAATTTGCCATCCTTTTGGTGTTTTATTCCTATAGCTCATGAAATTCTATGGCTTCTCCCAAAATATGAATACGTTTCTTGACTTGAAAGTTGTTGATAACAACTTAGTGTTACATCAATGTTTTATTTTGATGTTTTATTGGTCAAATAATCATGTTTGTTATTTAGTCTTTAACCCTTGTGCTATCCTCACCACAGTGATTAAATTGATTATTCTTTTAGCTGAATGTGGATGATTTCTCATAACTCATAACCAGCTCTTAGTTATTTATACCCATTTAGACCCTAATTTAAGGCATTTTTCTCCTAGACTGGATTAAAAGTATGGTACACAAGCAGAGCTGTTTTAAAGTCTTCTCTCTGAGCCACTGGACGCAAGTGCAGAGACCTGAGAACTGGACTAATGTGATCATACTTCCTGGTTCTAGTCAGGACTCAAGCTGCAGCTTTCAGAAATATCGGATTTTGTGGGGATTTTAGTGTCCCTTGTCATCCTGATTTTTTTTTTCTTCTTAAATCCTTCGGTTTTCTTTAAATCCACACTTTACTGCCACAAACTCTACTCCTTTCCTTCCCGCTCTGACTCCGCTCTGCTGCTGCTCTGATCAGCAGCGCTGATTGGTCAAAGCGCAGCCAAGCCCCTCTGTGCGCGTGCATGAAAGCCACACACGCGTATTTCGTGTCATGGGAGCTCGTCCACTGCGCAGAACCGGGAGGACCAGGAGATTAGCGAGTTCTGCTAATCTCCTGGTTTCCTGATTTCTCATAACTCATAACCAGCTCTTAGTTATTTATACCCATTTAGACCCTAATTTAAGGCATTTTTCTCCTAGACTGGATTAAAAGTATGGTACACAAGCAGAGCTGTTTTAAAGTCTTCTCTCTGAGCCACTGGACGCAAGTGCAGAGACCTGAGAACTGGACTAATGTGATCATACTTCCTGGTTCTAGTCAGGACTCAAGCTGCAGCGCTTTCAATATACTGCAGCTGTTTTTCAGACCCGTGAGCAGGCCATTACAGTAGTCTAACCTACTGGAGATAAATGCATGGATAAGAATCTCCAGGTCAGCTTTAGACACTACATATGTATATCCTACACCACTGGGTCAAATGGTTAAGGTTCCCTCCCATTGGATCAATGAATACACATTTTTAAAAGAAAAGATATCTCAGTGCCATCACAAAGCCTGTTACTCTGCTTGGTAGGCGGCTGTGCTATGCAGCAACAGAGGGCACAGTTGTTGTCGATTAATTGGAAGCCACGAGAATCTGTTTAATGAGTGCTGTTTGTTGGAATGAGGTCTAGTAAACAGAGCTGTATAAAGATGTGGTCAGACACAGCATTAGATGACCCACTTTATAGGTTATTCAATTGACCCTCCAGGGCAGAAGTTTGCTATTAGGTCTTCTAACTAAAGCACAGCAACAATATGTTTGATAGAATTTGGTGGAATGAGGATTTCAAAACTAGGGCTTTATGTAAAAAGTAATTTGAACCAATCAGTGGTATTGAAGCGTCTTAATGACTTGTTCTCAAATTTCGGTTGGCTGTGGTTACTGTATTCTTTACCTTATTTCTGAAGCTGTTGAGGAAACCATGAAGGAAAGGTGCGGTTGTACCTGCCTGCCTTGTAAAACATCCAC